ATGGACATGTGGCATCAGAACTATCTAAGGTCAGTGTCAGGGTCCCACCATCCCTGTGCACGTTCCCCCTACCTCGGAGTCAGGCTTCCTCGTGCAGGGTCCACCTGAGTCCCACTCTGTCCCCTTGCTGTGTTTGCACCAGGCAAACCCTCCTAATCCTGCTGGGTCAGAAAACCCAAGTGGTTATTAGTTTGTATCTTTTTGGACATTGGTGGGGTTCTCATTACTTAATAAATTCCATTCTAAACAAATACTCCATTCCCAGCAGGCAGAAGGATATAAACATTTGGCAGATCAGCTCAATCATCTCACTTTAACATCTTAACCAACACCAGCTTCCACAAATAAATGATATCACTGTAGCAATACAGAGGAGACTCTGCCAGCAGACTTTCTGAGTGAGACTCTCCTGGAACATAATTTGTTTTACAATACTTTTGGAAATCCTTTGGCCATACTAGGGGATGGGTAGAGGGGAAGGAGAGAGGTGGAGTCCAGGGGTAAGAGAATAAGGAGATTAGATAATTTGGCCTCACTTCCTTCTTTCCACTTATAGCCGCCTCTGTAAAAGCTGAGGGCAAGTCCAGTCAGGCTGCACCCACAACCTGGGAAAGGTGCAACAAGACACATACCCGGTGACAGGAGTGTCAGCAAATCATAGAGCGTGGGGTGGGGGGGGCGGCCAGCCTAAGTGTGCAGCATTTGTAGAGTCTACAGCCGGGCACAGTAACATCCTAGACCTTCACATTCACACTACTCAGTTGCTGACTCACCCAGAGCAACTTCCAGTCCTGTGAGCTCTGTCCGTGGTGTGTTCCCTCTGCAGGTGGACCATTTAAAATCTTTTATATTGTATTTTTCCTGTACCTTTTCTGTGTTTAGAGACACAAATACTTACCATTGTGTTACAATTGCCTACAGCATTCAGTACAAGCCCACGTTGTACAGGTTTATGGCCTGGGAGCAATAGGCTATATCATATAACCCAGGTGTGAGGTACACTACACCCTCCAGGTTTGTATAAGTACACTCTGATGTATGCATGGTGACAAAAATGTCTTGCCAGGGACCAGAGGTAGGTGAATAGGGAGATTAGGAAATTCAGGCTTACTTCCTTCTTTTCACTGGTAGGAGATGCTACTGCTGTCCCAACCACCTTCTCTTTGCCCACCCTGGATGTACCTAGCGCTTCAGTGGCAAATCTCATATAAACACCCATGTCCCTCTGCCTGAGAGCTTTCTCTGGATACAGCGATGTGCTTGACCCATGCATAGAACAGGCTGAAAGTGCGCAGGGGCTTATAACCCCCAGGAGAATCTCCTACTTGTATCTGAACTTTTGTCTTAGAGTCTGCTTTTGGAGAGACCCAAATTGAAACAGATGGCAATAATATGAAATATTTTAAAGAATTCTAGTGATGAAATTTAATGAAGTTCTAATTCTCTTAAAAAGTATCTCAGGCCGGGCGCGGTGGCTCAAGCCTGTAATCCCAGCACTTTGGGAGGCCGAGGCGGGTGGATCACGAGGTCA